GGAGCAACCGACCCTCTCCCTCTGGAATTGGAGGGGCGGGGGGCGGGGAGGCTGTGCTCTCAAGATGGACGCCGAAGAACTTGGTGCTGAGGGAAACGTTTTGGGTAGGCTGAAATCTGCTAAAAGGCTGAGGGAGGGGAGGAGAAAAGGGAGGAGAAGGTGGAAGAGAGAGGGGAGAGGAGAGAAGCAGAAGAGAGCTGAGCATCAGGGGAAAGAGGGGAAAGAATTTGGTGCTCTGCGAATCCTGGCTATTCTGGTGATCTACTGCTGTGTAACCAGCCGCCCCAAAATGGAGTGGCCCAGAGCAATTACTTCTTATTATCTCTCATGCTTTTATGGGTTGATGGGGCTCAGCTGGGCAGTTCTCTTGTCATCTCTCAGGCGATCACAGCCAGGTGGCTGCTACAGCTGCATTGCCTGATGGCTCCACTGGGCTGGATGGCCAACATGGCTCCTTGACTGGTGCTGGGGCCTTGGTGCTCCCAGCTCTTCTCTTGCATATGGAGTCTCATCCCCGAGGGCCTACATACAGGTGGGGCTGGAAGAGGCAAGAGACAGCACTGCCAGTCTGCTGAAGGCCTCCACCTGCTACTGGCAGAGGGTCACCTCCATCAGGCGGATTCAAAGAATGGAAACACAAGCTCCATCTCTTGTGGGGGAATACCAGACAGAATGCAGTTATGCAGGGCCTGGGAGGTAGTGTGTGAGGCTCAGCAAAGAAGCAGAAGCTCTGGGAGGAAATCAAGAGGCCTCGCATGAGCTCTTGACATGACTGGGCATTATTTCGACACAGGGACTGAATGAGCCCCTCGTGACATTCCTTAAGGGCAGCGATGGTATCTCACCATCTCTGGACCTTCCACAGCTTTCGCTTGCAGCCTGGTACATAGTAAAGTTTCCAGGAGTATCTGTTAAGCGGACCTGTGAGGCGCCCAGTAGAAAGGCGGCCCTTCTGGGACTGACACAAACACTTGCCCTCCCCCACATCAAGAAGCATCTAGTTGACTGCCAGGTCAGGACCTTCACTGTGTCCAGCACCTAGAACACTACCTGGTATGCAATAGGGATTACGTAAAGGTTTGTTGAGCGAATAAGTGATTGCAGAGATTCAACAGATGATGAGTATGTCTCTTATAAGTGGTACCTCGGTCTCATCTCTAAGCTCTGAGAGGGTGGTCATGCTGCACAAACTCCCTTGGGTCCTGAGAGGACAGAGAGAGCATATCTTGACTCCCTGCCACCAAACACACCCCCCCATGATGAGAACCAATGACTCGCCAGCCTCTGACAGAGGATCTCACTGAACTCACGCAATCCTAGGAGCTGTCATGAGGAAACAGTGGCTCAGAGACGTGAAGGCACCTGCCAACGTCACGTAAGTTTGTCAGTGTTTGGATGGAACTCAGACCCTGGGTGTCAGACCCTGGGGGGTCACAGGAGGCAGCAGCCCCCGTGGGTCTCAAACGGCAGTGTTTCCATCAGGCCCTGGTTAATGGGTCTGCTCTGACTCCGCCAAAGGGTTTTCTATCTCACAGGCCACATCCCCTTCCTGGTGGAAGAAGGAAGCAGAGAGAAAAAAAAAAACAACCTTGCAGTGGCCCTGCTGTCTTCCTGGCTGGGCCAGTACACACACTCCTTAGAAAAGTTTCACCTCTGGTTTAGCATAACAAAACTTTTAATTTAGATGTTTTCATCTCGCTCTCCAAGTAAAAATAAGTTTAAAATAATGACTGTAATAAATGAAGGTAATTAATTGTAGTTTGTTCCTTTACTGTCTAGTCAGCTTAATTTTACCTTTTCAACTAATAATGAGAAAATAATTTTTGTGCTCGGAGGGTTAATGATATGTAACTGCGAGAGCTGCTAATTGCATGTTGCAATCCATCCATCAACAACCCCATCTGTGCGACTTGATTATGTTTGCTAAATTATTGCTTTGAATTATCTTTCATAAAGCAACTTTTGTAATTAGCGGGGCTTTCGTCTTGCTCTTTTCTCTGCGCGCAAGGATATTCAAACTTTGGCCATTTCAAGCTGTCTCCATTAAGCCACCTTCTCTGGCTGTCTTTGTTTCCCTGAACAGGGGGAATCAAGACTGTCCTTTAAGCAATCAAGGCAGAGAGAAAAACCTTCCTTGATTCACAGCAGGGCAAATTCACTTCCTCTCCGCACCCCTCCCGCCAGCGTGAGTGCGCGACACACACACGCACATGCACACACATACACACGAGAAAGAAAAAAAAGGCCACACACATACAGAATGAAGAGATAAAGAGGATGCCCAGATTCTTTATACGCCACGGCCGGTGAAGTGAAATTAAGGAATGAACTTGAACATGTTATATTTCAACAAGAGGCTCACACTGGGGAAGAAGGAATGACGGGTACGATATTCAGCCCTGGCGTTTTATGGGCTACTTTATGTGACTTGAGACGGTGTTTGCCTCAGGGAATATTCCTGGGAGGTGATTAATGCCCACTTGGGAATCCTCAGCTCTGAGCCTGGAGCCTGGTGGATCGCGAGAGGGAAGCGGCATAAAGGATGAACCCTCATTAAAAAAATTAAAATGAAAATCAAATTTGGATTATAAACGGCTTGTGCGTGAGCAGTTTGTTCTGGACGAAGAAGATGCTTTTTATTAACACCTTTCTTTGGCGCCGTTTCTCCCCTGAGGCACGGGGAGGGACCTGGCAGCTGTGACGGATTAGTCAATACATCATCAGGAAAGCAGGGGTTTCAGGAATAAAACTCCAGACAAATGTAGTCTTTTTGGTACATTAAAGGGACGATGGAAAGCCCTCTTAAGAAAATTAACGAAGTTGTTTGGAGATCCTCAGCTATTAAAACAGTGCAAATTCAACATGCCACATAGATTTGGAAATGAGAATTCAGCTTCGTCTTCCCTTTCGGACCCACTAAAACTTTCTCTCTCTCAGTGAGTTACTGAATACCAGCTGTGTGCCAGACACTGTGTCAACTGCCTCTACCCTTCGTTCTTTAAATCCTTACTGCTAACTTCATTTGTCAGAGGAGAAAAGCTGAAGCTTGGAGAGGTTAAGGAACCTCTCCCCAGCCACACAGCTAGGGAAGCAGCAGGACTGAGATTCAGGCCGGGCCGGTCTCAGTCTGATTTGCACGAGCTTTCTGCCACGTGGCACTGGGGTATTCTCTGGATCATTATCCAAACGTTAACTCCGAACTCTTTCTCCTATTGAAAAGGTGATGTAAGTCACGGCTGTTTCCTTCAGGGATAGCAAGCCCCCTCTTTTGGAGAAAAGCCTTGAACACATACTCAGGAAAGAGGTAGATTCCAGCCCAAGACTAGCAGAGGCACTGGAGGTGATGGATAACAGGAATAATAAAATAACCAGGACCACTAAAATAAAGCAATGTTCTAAGCACTTTGCTCTTCCTCAGTCACGACCCTATGAAGGAGACAGAATTATTACCCAGTTTTACAGATAAGAAGACAAAGTCACAGAGAGGCTAAGGAACTTGTCTACGGTCAAACAGTGAGGAACCGGCAGAGGCAGGGTTCAAACCCAGGTTGGCTCCGGAGTCTGCTCTTTACTGCCTGGCAGCTCTCTGTGTGCCAGGCATTGCATTATTTCTCAGTTCTTAAACAACACAGAAAAGATCGGGGGTGTCTTTATTCCCATGAACAGAAAGGGAAACTGAGGCTTTAAGTGGCTAAGAGAAGCTCTGTCCATACCAGCCGAAGCAAGGGCACAGCTGAGAAAGTGACGCTCGGTGCCTATCTCTGGGCTGCCCTGAGGGATCAGCTGCCTGAGAGGGCTTGTGTGCTGAGAGCCCCTCATGGGACCAGGGCCTGGCAGATGGGAACCTCTTTTTTAAAAACACAAAGCCATGACAACAAATTCCCAACAATATTGGTCTTTCTGGTATGTCCCCCCAGCTCCCGCCCCAGCCCGCCGCCGTCCCCTTTCAGATCAGGCACCTCACAACCAAATGAATCAATACTGGATGGCCCTATAAATAAATAAGCACATCAGTCAACTGAGTAATAAAATGAAGGGATGAAAAATATGGAAATCAGCAACATTTGTGTAAATCTAGTTATTGTTTACTTTAATATTGCCTTATGCGCTTACGCGGTTCCAAAGAGACAGATTTAAAGTAATGTGGCGCTTGGCGGACGACAGACTTAAAACGCATCTCCACCGGAGAGCTCGGAGAAGGGCCAATCCTTCCTAGGTCCTGCCTGAATCCAGGGAGACTGAGAAGAGCCCCCCTGAAGATGGAACATTTGACAAATGGCTTCCCCTTCCACTACCCTGCCTCAGTGTAACTCCATTCTCTTCCCCGCCTGCCTCCCTTGCCAGCAGGACAAGCGGACATTTTCAGAATCCTGGTTGCAAAGTCAAGCCAAGAGGAGTGGGGGAGGTTCAGCCCCGTGACAGAGCTCCAGAAGGCTAGAGAAATAACCAGCTGAAGACAGCCCAGCTACTGCCGAAGGAAATCGGGACCGATGCGTTGTCAGGAGAGAACGTCAATAGGGTTGGTTTTATACTCAGATGGTGGGTCAGTAGAGAGGATTTCAGGGTGGGCTGGTGACTACTTGGACTTCTCTGCAAGACCACTTTAGAGAATCAAAGCCAAGCAGAATGCCAGGGGACAGCAAAGGTCACCGACTTCAAACCTCTTGATTTTAAAAATGGGAAACCAAGCCTAGAAGGTGAGGTGGTTTGTTCAAGGTCACAGAAACTGCATATAGCAGAGCTGCTGTAAGGCTGGACAAAGTCTAGGGAGAGGGAGATTCTTGGGACCAGACACAGAATCCCATCCAACAGAACAGAGAACCCGTTCTCATCATGTCACCACTGGCTGATCTGGAAAGAATGGGGTGGAGTTTGCAGTGGGGATGGGCAGGTTTCTCCCAAGCTGCCAGAGGCTGCTGGCTTCCTCTGGCAACTCCAGGGGGGACAGGAAAGGGAAGCAGGGAATGTTTCTGTGGCATGCCATGGGCCTTGGGTCTTACCTCAGCTTGGAAGCTTTTTAATACAGGAGCCACCATCTCTCTGATTTCCTGAAAAAGAGATCAGCGAAGAGTTCACCACAGTGCCAGGTGGGATACCCCCGTGGCCCTTGCTTGCAATGCACTGTTGTCCCCCAGGCCAGCACTGCCCAAAGGTATCCCGTGGGACGTGTGCTCCATGGGATTTCCTCAGGGTTTCTCATATATACACCTACACACAGACACACGCACGTGTACACACACATAGGGTGCTAAGCCAAATCAGCCTAGGAAATAAAGTTCAACATCAAGTTTCTTCCCTGCAGGACTTTTTGGAGCCTTTCGTATAATGCACATTGGTAACTTCTGGAAGAGGGGGGAAGGAAGGAGTACTTCCCAAACAGATCTGACCAGGGAATGTTTTTTTATGCAAAGCGCTCACGGGACTACTGGTGCATTCTGCAACTGACACTTGCTGAAGAGGTGGGCTCGACTCTCCACACCCAACAGCATGTCACCAAAGTCCCTTCATAAAAACCTTCTGTCCTTCAAACATTTGCTCAGGGCTGTTTCCTTCAGGTGGCCATCTCTGTTTGCTTCCCCACCCAACTGCCCTTCTCTGGCAAAGACTCCATTTTACATTTTAGCAACATCACTTCTGTACTTGTCTCTCTTTCTTCTCCAGAACGTGCGGTTTCTGGCTCCCCCGGTGCCCAGCTCAGAGGAGGGGCTCTGTAAATGTTTGATAAACTCTGTGGTAGTGGGCTGTCTTCAGAAGGGAGTCTCCTGTTTCTGGACCCTAACTTCCTGCCTTTCACAAGTGACCATGAGGTTCTCAGCCCCAAGGGCTCCCTTGGTTGGCTCCTGTGTGTTCTCCCCAGCACTGCAAGAGGGAGGCCTTTTAGAACCTAGTGTCACCAAGATTCCAACCCTAAATGCTTCAGTTTCCTGAGACCCACGGGTGACTCCATGACTGCTGTCAGTCACGTCCCACAAGAGACCCCTGCGGAAGGAGGAGTTGAGGGGGGCTCCAGAGCGTGGGGAGAGGGGACAGTAGAGAGAAGCAGGGAAGGAAGATGTGGGCACAAGAATACATATGTTCAGGTAAAGAATAAATCCCTTAATTACAAGATAAGGTTGTGTTTCTGTCCCTGAAAATGATCCCGCCTCTGGGTCCTGGGTACCCCTCCTCACTGATTAGTGTCCCCCAGGGCTCCTTGGAGCTGGTGATATATTGATGGTATGTTTGGGATCTTCAGGGGGGACATAGGGAGAGCGTGCGAATCTAGTTGATTTGATCACAAGGAGCTATGAGTGCATGGACTGAGCCATGGAAAAGGAAATGCATGAAAACCCAGGTCCCAGGTTGTGAACTCAAATGCTCACAGAGGCCGGGGTGCAGGGAATGGACATGTGGGGGGCAGGCTGGGAGGCAAGGATTGGGAGAGCCCCAAGCACCGTGTAATGGAGGTAGCAGCTGCTCAGCTCTAGCTGGTGACCACCATGTGGGCATCGAGCCCCTGCACGACCAGATCCACCAAAGAGTCTCAAAAGATACTGGAAATCTGGGGTTTTGGGTGAAATCTACTGAGATGCCAAATGTTGGTAACTTACTGTAAAACCCAAATGACTTTACAGACCAAATAAAACGTATCAGCAGGTTAAACCTCTGGTCCAAGTTCAGAAAACATTACAGCTGGAAGGGGCCTCAGAAATCATCTCTCTTGTCCCCTGATTTTCCGAAAGGGGAGACCAAGGTCCCGAGATAGGCTGGCTTGCTCAAGTCCGCCAATGAGGGAGTGGCTCAGCTGGAATTTGGATGCAGGTCAACAGACAACCCAAATAAGCTATCTGCATAACGCCACACTCAAGGGAATCCAAATCTGAGGGCCTGGGGTGGGGGTGGGGGGTGGGTTGGCAGGACTTCGGGCCAATGCTGACCATTTCTAGAAGCCCCCTGTCCTGTATGCTTCACCCCTGGGAGGGAAGCTGAGCATAGGCGCCAGCAGGAGGTGAGTTGGGTACCAGCCAGATGATGTTCTTAAATAAAGCCTTGGCATGACTCTCCCAATCAGGAGAGACTAGTTCCAAAAAAGAGAATTTTCAGAGGCGCGACTATAATAGGAATGGAAACTTATTCCTCCTAATTACATAATTGCATAATTATGCAGTATTAAAATTATGTAAGCTGAACTCAGAGGCTTAAAACCTGGCCTGGATTTCCCTCATCACCTGGGGGCTCCCATGTGGTCTGGGGGAGGAGGATGAGATGGAGAATCTGTGCTGACCAGAGCGAGGGCACGTAGGTCTGGGAAGATCTAGGGCTGCTTCATCTGCACTTCCCACAGAATGGAGAGTCAGAGGCCAAGCTTCTGGCACCCTCTTTCTGGGCAGAAAATCAGCTTAAATACCAAATTGTTCTCTGTTCCAAGAAGGAAGCAAAGGGTGCTCACCATCACCTATGCCTTCTTAGCTTGGAGTCAAGCCCAGGACTTGAACTGGCCTTTTTGAAGGTGTGACATGGGAGACACTAGGACCTGAGACTCTTGCTCCTTCTCCAGGTGTACCCTCCCTCACCTCACAAACCTAAGATTCCTTCCATACTTGCTCCATGGGCAAGTTCTAGCTATAGTCCGCTTCCCTCTCTTGCCTTGAAGAACCGAAGATACTCATAACTTGTGAGGAGAATTTCACAGCTAGAAGACGACCCCTCTGTGCTCATGTAGCCCAATACCTGGGTTGGCCTGCCTCTTCTCCATCTTTCCATGGCTTCCTCCTCTATCAGGAAGAGGGCAGCAGGACCCCTGGGTGATTCTAATAGGCAGAGTGGAATCAACATCTGATACTTTCAGAATGCCAGATGCTGCCCCACCCTCCTCCAAGATCAGGGCCTCCCGAGTAGGTTAGGACAGAGAGGTCGACTATTAACCTCTGCTGACCACAGAGAAGCAAAGTTGGTTTGGGGGGCAGCCAGGGTCTCTGTTACCCAGTGGCTCTGATGTGTCACATCCTTGATAATATTACATGGAATCAGAAGGCTTTATTATTCCTCTTTGTGTTTATTTCATTTTTTTTTTTTTTTTTAAGATCTGAGCAGCAACAGGGGGCCTGATAGAGAAAGTAAAGGAATTAACACATTCGCTCCTGTAAAGAACAAAAACATGCCCATTCTAGTCTCTTCCGTTGGGAGGCCCTTATGTTATGGGGGTAAGGGGACAGAACTGATCTGTCTGGACCACCCTCATGGCAGCTGGGAAAGTCAGAGCTGGTGGCTGGAGCTGCAAAGCAAGAAGTGAAGGGGAAGAAGGAGGCCTCTTTATGGCAGCGGGAGGTGTTTTAGGGGAGACTGAGGGAAGGCCCAGAGAGGGTGGAGGAGCCTAGAGCTGTCCTTCCCCGACACCAATGGAAAAGGAAAATAAGATCACGAACCCTAGACAAACTGTCTTTGCTGTCAAGGCCAAGCATTTGACTAGAGATGAATATCGGGGGGCAGTGGATGTTTTAGGGAGCCTGCAGAAACAATGACTTCAAAGGAGAAGCGTCCTGCCCTCACTTTAGATAGCACCACTGAGCGCCACTATACCAAGAAACACCCAAAGGTTGGGGGCTGTAATGTCTCTTTGTGGCTAATTAGCTTCTTTTCTTGTTAGTCACTTATGTCTACAGTTTCCAAAATACAGTTTGAACAGAGAAAAATCTGCATTCCTACTGAGTTAATTCTATAACAGCAAATATACTGTACCTCAGGTACATTTTTCTTAAATTCCCGGCGGAGTTCAATTAAATGTTTATGAGAATGTTCACTCTCCTCCTGCCGTGCAGACAGCTCGGAAGCGACGGAATTAAGCTCCTTCTGAAACAATATAAAAAAAAAAAGGGGGAGAGAGAAAGAGAGAGAGAGAGAAAAGAGAAAGATTTTTTCCCCTCCTTTTCCTTTTTCATCATCGTACAAAACAGCATTCTGAACAAGTTTTCTTAACTTACAAAGCTGAGAAAAGACAGGATATTGACTCCTGGCACAAATGAATAATTTACAAAATGGGATGCAACTGAAAAAAATCCAGGACAGCTTTTTTTGCTCATCGGAAGATCAATAATCTCCCATAAAGTTGGGTGGAGTTTTTTTTTTTTTTTTTTTTTTTTTTTTTTTAACTCTCTCCCCCACCCCTCTGCCCCACCTCTTAAATTTCCAAAGGAGTGATGGCATAAGCTTGTCAGTAACTGTAGAAAACATCTCCAAACCGTGTCAAAATAGTAAAGTACGGCATATTGTATGGGCATATTATAGTGTAAGAAAGTGCTGTCGACAGCTTTCATATATCAGAGGTGGGAACTGTTCCAACTATGACTTACTTACACTTAAGGGTTCATAAATACGCCTTTTAAGATATAGATGGCTTTTTAATTTCAGTAGATTTTGGAAAAATGAAGGTGCCAATAAGAAACAACCTGACCTTTTGTGTATCCTGCAGTAAATCATTTAAGGTTCACTTCAAGTATAAGAAATATTTCACTGAAGACTCCTGGATTCAGAAGAAATGGACTGGAAGGTGCCCTGCCTGCTTATGTGCAATGAAGGCGCCAGACCAGGTTTTTACAGGACGTGCCGTCGAGGGGAAAAAAAAAGAGTGAGGGATGGAAGGGGGGGGCCGCTCCAGCTCACACACATCACAGACAGCGTCTGCTGGTTGTACATGTATATTTGATCACCCCTCTCTTGGCTTTCTTCGCTTTAATGGTGGCAGTCTCACAAGGGGAGTACAATTCACCATGAGTTGTCATGGGTTTCATTTGCATAATTCAAGAAACGCTCTGTTTATGTGGTCTGCTGCTTTCTTGCACCATCCCGAGATGGGCTTTTTTTCTGGACCATAACTCGAGGAGCATTTCTGTATATATCACCCGATTATATTTGCAGCAATCAAGCCCCATAATTTCCTAAATCCGGTGATGCAATAAATTTCTGCAATCAGATTTATTAAAAACACACACGCAGATGCAAGAGTGTATTTCTAGGGTGAACTCTTTAATCTAACATATGTATGATGAGGCCCGGCACCGTGTTGAAAGACCCCATTTGTCATCGCTAATACGCATTCATCTTGCACACACAATGAAACACTTTTACCATTAGATAATGAAATAAAAGTACTATTAACCCACTGCAAATCCTTTTCCCTGTAAGAGACGAAATGCATGGTAATTGTCTTATATCATGTCTGAGTCGGTAAATCTGCTCTATAGCAGTTCACCGTAGCACCATAAACCTCATACCCATCAGAGGCAGGAGAGCCTATCCTAAGCCCAGTAGAAGTGTCTCTGCCTAGGGTGCCTTAGGGAGAAACTGGCAAGGGAACTTCTATTTCTGGAGAAATGTCTAACCTCTTGGAGAACCACAGGACTAGAAGAGAGAAGGCCAAGTCATGAAAGTAGTGAAATAGATGGCTTCAGTGGTGTGGTGCTCTCCAAGGTGCTGAAGTCAATTCTATGCCACAGCACTAGACACACCGACTTGAAGGTGCAGGAGCTGCCGGTACAAATGCTCAATGGAATTTTAAGCCGGGTAAAGAAGAAGGTATCATTAGAGAGGAGAGACAGAAACAGTTTCTGACAGTCCACCAGAGTGACAGAAGAAAAATGGCCACTTTAGATTTATTATTTAAAAATAATCATAGTTTCCAATAAAGACACTACAATCGACCACAACCAAAATATTGAGTGACTAGGAAGAAGTCTGCAGCAAAAGGACTGATCAAAGGTAGATAAAATTCAACCAGGTGGTGCAGCCAGGTGGACAGAACCTCACTTGGCAGGAGAGAAGGAACTGGAGTGTCATGATCAATGTGAGTTGTGATAAAATGCTCACAGGTTCCCTTAGTTTTTCTCATCTGTCTTGGAGACAAAGATGTGATTTTTACGTTGCTGCAGAACAAGCAGAACTGGGACTTGGGTGGACATGATGTGGTTTTGGATTATCAAGTTTCTGACATTATGTTCTAATCTCTGGGACACTGTCCTTCCCCACACCACAGCAAACGATATACCTGGTTGGTGTTGGACTTGGACTCCTCAGTTAAAACAGCAAACCCAGTCCCTGAGAGGAAATTTCACAGCAGGATAAGTCCAATGACTTGAAGTGTTGTACCAGACAATTATGCTGTGTGACTGAATCCCTTCACCAGAACTTCCCAGGGTGCTGGTGGGTATAAATCTGTCTGCTGCATCCACACTGAAGCCACAGCAGAGGCAACACCAGGCTGGGGAATGTTGGCAGACCCCCAGCCCCAAGCCTACTTAAGCCCAGCTCATGGTGTCTTTCCTGTTGAGCCAGAGAAGAGCAAACAATGTCTATGTTCTTCTCAACTTTGCCTACTTCTAATGCTCATCCTTCAACACTAAATTCTTGTCACATTTCTATGGTCAGCTCACTAAAAACAGTATCATCAATAACAGTAATAGTAAATAATAATCATAATTATCATTCATTGGGTGCTTATATGTATTGGGTACCATGCTAAGCTCTTTACATACCTCACCTCATGTAATAAGCACAGCAACGTGTCTGCTTGGGATTCACGAAGCAACTAAGAAATAAGTTACAGTCAATTCTAATAATACTGGTGTGGATTATCTCGTTGGTGGATAATAAAGGCAAAATTATAATGCCTGGCTCTTCGTAGGACTTCTGCTCCACTTTTCCACTAGTCGGGGGATATTCAGGGAGCTTGTTTTAAATGCTATAATTGTATAAACCATCAACCAAGTGTTCAATAAATGTTGGCTGATATTATTCTGTTATTTGGATAAACTGAGAGTTCAGAAAACATCTCAGGTCTCATCACTAGATCAGTGATTCTAAGAGTTCTGAGTTTCACAGGTCCATAAAAATATCACCAAAGAAAGAAAAAGGAAGATCAACAGAGTATAGCCAAGTTTTACTGCATCAAAGAAAAACATTAAAAACCACTCCCACTCATCCTAAAAGATAGGGCATTTGAACACTAACAAAGCAAAGGGCCAACAACAGAATCAATGAGAGTCTTTTAAAATAAATATGCCTGGGGTGCCTGGGTGGCTCAGTCAGTTGGGTGTCTGACTTGATCTCAGCTCAGGTCTTGATCTCAGGGTTGTGGAACTGAACGCTGGGTTTGGAGCCTACTTCAGAGAAAATAAAATATAGGGTGCCTGGGTGGCTTAATTTTTAAGCATCTGCCTTTGGCTCAGGTCATTTCCCCAGGGTCCTGGGATCGAGCCCCGCATTGGGCTCCCTGCTCACCGGGAGGCCTGCTTCTCCCTCTCCCACTCCCCCTGCTTGTGTTCCCTTTCTCATTGTCTCTCTCTCTGTCAAATTAATAAATACAATCTTAAAAAAAATAAATAAAAACACTTAAAATAAAAAAGCTCCCAGCACTGTATTTATTTTGAAGGAATGGAAAAAACTCTCATAAACATAAGCCAGTACCGGTTTGAAGCTGAGTTTTAGAAGCAGAGTTTTAGAAATGAATGTCTGAGCCACTACACACATACATGACTAGCAAGGCCCTCCTTTGATGATCAAGCAGAACTCCATTCCTCTCCCACCCTGGCCCTCAGCCCCCAGCCCTAGGGGAGCCATGATTAACACAGCCCCAGACTTTGGACCAGGCCCAGGCCGGGAGGAGACTCATCTGATTAACCTGCCATCAGCAGCAGACAGACAGCCCGGAGCCCAGCGCAGACCATTCAAATAATGATCATCATAAACAGCCCATTTGCAACTAAAAAGAAATAATTTTAATGAGCTTGAAGCAGATGATGGATGCAGCTGAGGCTCAGGCCAATGCACAGAGAAAAAGGAAGCTGGGATTGAGCTGCACCCAGGACCAGGAGCAGCAGGAAGAAGCTGGGGTGGGATGGAAGGGCTCTTCTGTGGGAAGATGGGCTCTACAGTCCTGCTGCTTCCCCACCATAAGTGCCCACTGCCCAGCAAGTGCCCCGAGCTCTGAGAGGATCTGCTATCAGTGTACTGGGCAACCTTGAGACTTAGACCTCCAAAGCACTCAGAGTCTCAGAACGTATGAACTAGAAGGAAACTTGGGTTGCCCAGTCCATCATTGTTCAAACTTCAACCACACACACCCCTCTGGCATGCATTTTGCCATATTAATATACCACATGAATTACTATTTAATATTTATCTTCAAATTGACTCCTATTTCTTTCTTTTTAAGACATGTATAGCTTTAAGCTCAATTTTAAGACTGAATTTTTACACCCTTGCAACCATTGCCCAGATCAAGATATAGAATGTTCGTGTTCCTAGCATCTTAGAGGCTCCCTTGTGCCTCCTTGTGAATACATCCTAAAGGTAGCCATTATTCTGACCCTAGCATCATAGATTAAGTTTGCCTGTTCTTGACCTTCATAATAAACCTCCCCTTTTCTTTTTGACCTAAGTAAGTACATTTGAAAAGGACACCTTTTATTTTTTAATCACTAGAGAATCCCAGATCATAAACAGATGGCAGCCATTGAAATAAACTACCAATAAAACAAAGCACTGCTATGTGTCTTTGTTATAAAAGGAGGTTTGTTACCAAATGCTAGAGAGATGTTAAAGGTAGTGTAGCACCAGACAGACTTTCTTCTTGTTAGAAGGAATGGAAGAGCACTGAGAAGGAATACATATTCCTGCTGGCATGAGTAGATCCCTCTAAAGCCTGGTCTACTGACTGCTTACAATCATCTCATGTCCAGCCTTCAGTGTATGTCCCACACTTCAAAATTACCTGAATCTGATTCTGCATTTTAAAGATGAGGAAACTGAGAACACAGACAGCCTAGACTACCTGATCAAGTCACACAGCTGTTTAG